AAGAGTGTGAAGTTATTTTGAAAAGGAATTACCAGTCAACTGTTTGTACTCTTGAAAAGATTTAACATATTTCTCTATTTTCCAGGCTGACTTACATTATTTTCATCCAAGTAAAGGCTGGTAAAATTAGTCTAGATAGGTTGAAAATATCATTGAAATGAATTAAAACAATGAAGCACATAAAGATTTTGAAAATTAGAAGCTCTTATCAAAATACTTCCCAACTTTGCAAATGCTAAGGAGTACAAAATAGGGAAACAACTAATGCAATGACCAAGGTGATACAAATAAATGTTTCATCTTACTTGTCCAGGGCTGTGCTGGTGGGCATGCTCCTACCAAATCCTCGGACACCCATCTGACAGAAGTATGGAATGCAAGACAGATTGGCAGCAATTATAGCCAATGAATCTGATGCATTAACAAAGAAACCATTTTGGCCAAGGATCATGTAGCGGTCCTGAAGAAGACAAGAAATTCAAAAAAGTATCTTAAATCCTATGTTCTGGGGAGTGGTAATTTCTTTCATTAGATCCACTGTAAATAGGGAAAAAAAAAAGAAAAAGAACAGGATTTGGGTTTACTCGCATTTCTCTTTGGGCACAATAATTTATTGGCATCATCCTGGCAGGTTTCTAATCTCACTGCCACTCCACCACTCCCTCCAGCCTCGCAAATCAAAGTTCCACATCAGTCTGTAGTAGCTTCAGCCTCCTACATACTACTTCAGTAGGTCTGTTCCTGCCAGGAATGCTTGTGTAGGAGAAACTTTTTGCCAACATCACACACTATGCAGGGAGTAGGAGGGTGTTTTGTGTTTACTGACAACAGAAAACAGCTTCTGTTCTTCAGAACCTTTTCATCTTTCTCCCACCCTGTCAGGACAGAAAGTTGTCTGATAACATGACACTAAAAAATCAAGTTAGAGATTATGATTCAGTGCTTTAATTAACTAAAAATCCCTCAAATTATGATGTTAACCAAAACTCACAGCTTAGTTAGTACTTACTGTGACAAGTTTGTATGATCTATATATACTGCTTTTTCCAACACAGAGAAGAAAAGTGTTACACCAGTGCAAGATAAAAACAGTCTAATATTTAAAGAATTCTCATTCTGGATTCAAATCCTGCTCGATTTTGCAGTCATCTGCAGAGACGAATTACAACATATGTGTCTGATTTATGGGTTGCAAATGCTATCATCTGCACTTGAATGTAACAGCACTTTCAGCTTCAAGGGCTTACTGAAAAGCAAATAAATTATGCTTAATGTCCCATATCTGACCCCAGACAAAACAGTAACTACGGCGAAATCTCCAGACAGATCAAAACACTTACTCCATCAGCATCAAAAGCAGCTCCAAATCCATACTCTCCACCTCTCATAGCCTCCAGCAAGGCAGTTGCATACGTTAAATTGGGATCAGGAGGCTGTCCACCAAAATCCTCCAGAGGAATACAGTTTATGGCAGAATTTGCAGGAGCTCCCAATTCATCACACAGGATTCGTCTGACATAAGGTCCCATAACTGCAAAAACAGAAATCTGCCATGCAATCACAAAAGCGTATGCTTGACATGCAAATTTTTCACAGGACTGTCAAGACTTGATACAAAACATACTTTCATCAATTCTATACGTCTGTCCTAGCAACAAAAGACAAACTACTATTTCACAGAGGAGTTCATGATCGTCCCCCCCAGTAAATAACCAATTGGCAATTCAGCATTAAAAACACAGCTCTCCACCAGTGGAAGTGAAAAAGTAACTGCTGAGTTGTGAAAGATGCAAGTTTTATTTATCCATTATTAATTAAATAAATAATCATAGACATTGAGGGGTTTTCCTCACTAGAATAAAAATAAGATGCTATTCTGTGTGTCCTGGATGCAAATAAAAGTTTAACACATATTAGCAAGTTAAGTAAACAGTGGGGGTGGAATACAGTAAAAGTAAACAGTGGGGGAATAAAAACGGGAAATAAACTTTCCTCAACCTTCTAATTCATACTAAAATTACAACGGCTTTGTCCTCCAAATAATTTTACCACATTTTAGTTACTACTGTAATAAAAAAAAAAAAAAACTTTCTCAAAACTAACTACAAAATAACATCTTTATTTTGTTAAAGATATGGCCAACTAAGACCCCAGCTCATGCTATTTTATATCATAATTATTATAGGCAATGTTGTGGGGTATCCCAAAACATCAACTAAGTTCATTTTTGGACCAGCTTTTTGTTTCACCTATATTCCAGATTAACATCTTGATCCTTTTTATTCTGACATGATAGGAATTTTCCATGCTAATTTTAACCACCGAATGAAAGTATATAATCTTTTATCCTTTAACCAACGATTTTTCATTTTAAATATCTATAAGGAATATTTTATAAGTATTAATAGCAAATTTGTATCATTTCAGCCCAGAAATAAAAGGATCCTGAATACACATGCACCTTGAAATGCAGTCATTATCAAACTGTACAGGGCATCGCTGAATCCCACACTGAAAACATTTGCTCCTACGGAGAAACCGTGATGTTCATTGTGTATGAAATGTACACTTGTGCATTTGGTGGCTGAACAGACACTAACAACTGACTGAGGTCTCTGCATCCCTGAAGCAGCTATAAACAGGTCACTCAGAGGTAAAGAAACTAACAAATTACTGCTCACTCTCTCGTATTCTCTCTCTCTCTCCTACCTTACTCCCAAATCTTGCTAAGTGGAGCAACTGTAACCCAAGGTAAAACAATGTGAGAAACTTATATTCATGAAAATTTAGATGCTAATTCTGTAAAATTTAGAGTAAACAACAATTCAGGTTCTTATCAGTAGAATCCTGACAAATTACTGTTTTCTATGCCAATGTTAAACTATTCATGTCTACAGGCATAAAAGGACATTCCAAGAGCTGTAGACCTGAAAGAAATTTTGGAAGACAGTTTGTCCGTGTATACGTGTGGCACTTTCTGATGTTCACATAGTTACAATTACATTGTGGCTGGTGACTCGCTTTGGGTAACGCATCTCACCCAGAAAAGCTTTTGATCTGCTGCCACCAAGAAAAGGACAAACCCCAACTGTCTTTAGTAGATTGCTCCCGTGCTTAATCACTGTTACCCATAAACATGTGAGCTACTTTTCAATTTGAATTTTTCTGGTCTCAACTTCTGATTATTGATTCTTTTTGGTATTTTTGGGAAGAGACAACCAGGAAATAATTTTTCTGCAGAAAAAAAAATACATCTGTTACATAAACAAATATTTTTGTATACAATTACTGTATATTTACTATGCATTATAGTACGGCTACTTCTCTATTAAGATACAAAATCATAAAGTCAATTCTCTGTGATTTTGTAAACAAAGTAAACAAACTCGGTCCTTCAAATTTTTTGTGTTGCATCAGTTTTTCTAACCCTGAAACAGACTATTCATCTTTTTGACCACGTGTAGAATTTTTCAACACTCAGTTATAGATCTGGACACCAGAGCTCTACATACTACTTGAGTAACACTCTCTCCAGCACTGTCCATGACAGGAGGCAGTGTCTTCCTCATTGCTCCCTCTGCATTGTTCAACGACACCATTTGCCCTTTTGCCACAGCCCGGAAAAACTGAGTGTTCACATTGACTGTATGCCCACCATAATCTTTTGCCACAGCCTGTAAACTGGGTGTTCACACTGACTGTACGCCCACTATGATCCTGTGAACAGTGACTATCACATTGCACTAGATAAAACGCTTTACAAAAGCTTTTTAAGTCTATCCAGCTCCCTTTATCAGTCTAATTTTGTAATCCCATTAAAGAATGAAACCTTGTTTATTTGATAGAATTTGTTTTCCATAAGAAAATGAACAGCATTACTTACCTTTCTATCCTTCATGTCATTATCTATAGAAATTCTTATTTATTTTTTCATTATGTGGTGTAAGACAGATCTCATACCGATCTATGTTTCTCCAAGTGACACAGCTTATAATTTTTTAATACTGGCACAAAATCAGTCTTCTTGCTTTCTTTTGTGACACTTTCATCGTGTCCCCAGTACACTGGAATTTACTAACAGTTAACTCCAGTGAGACAGAGGTCTCAACCAATTCTTTTAGGACTTTGGGTGCAACTTATTCAGTCTTAACTAATTTCATACCATTTAGAATCTACTTTTAGTAGAGATTGCTTTGTAAATTTCCTGCACTACTGCACACTGCAACGTAATTCATCACTCTCTTGTGGCAAGATTACCTTATCCTGCTTGCTTCCAAATGCAGAAAGAGAAAATTTATTGGACACATATGCCTTCACTTCTTCTTTATCAAGAAAGACAAATCTCTTTGCTTAATAAGGGATCCAACTTACTAAGATTGCTTTTGTTATTAGTATAATGTTCAAATCCTTTCTTTCTACCCTTAACTTTTCGAAAAACTCTGACCTTTATATGCTGTACCTTCATTGGGAAACTACTGCAGTGTATCTATAATTTCATCCTGAAAGCAGCTTAAGTTCATACCTCCATTCATGGCATCAATCCTTATTTTAATCTGGTTAGGTCCGGTCAGCAAATTTCTGATCGCATTGAAGTCAAAGATACCTCGAAGGAGATTGAGGTAGATATCCACAGAATCCACAATTTCCACTAGAAAAATTAGGTAGAAAAAGAACACTACAGTTCATACATGGTAAAATATCTCTTCCAGCACACTTCCACTAGCCATGCATGTGAACTAAAATCAGAGTGTGCAACCTCTATACAATACGGACTTGCTCTGAAGCCCATACTGGCAAAGTAAAACACTTCCACTGACTTCAGCATGGCTATCAACAAACTTTAAGCCTTGCAAAGATGAAGATAGCTAGTTTTGCCTCCTAAAGGACTGCAGAGAGATTATACAAGTTGACAGTTCCTATTACACTAAAAACATTTGTAAGAGTATATCATATCAAAGTAAACTCTTTATTTATCATTCACTACCTCACTGAAAAACTTTCCAAGCTTAAACAGGTTTATTCTCAGGGGATGGAAGATGTCCATGCCGAGATGCAGCCACATGTTCTCTTCTTCTATCTGACAACAGTATCAGCACCACTCCATCAGGACAGACATACACCTTTTTCTTCTCATTTTTGGCATGTGGAATATCTGTCTCCAGTTTATCGTAAAGGTACCACTATACCTTTGCATTTTATATCTCACTGATTTAAGAAAGTTAGACTCAGATACAACATCCGCCTTTTGCTAAGATCTTGTTAATTTGAATCCTAAACTCATAAAGGCAGAGGGCTACAATTTTTATAGTTCTTTTGGTTGTAAAACATTAAACTAAAATGAATTAATGAAAGTAAGTCTGTCAAAATGAAAGCAGTTACCAAACAACTGCCAAAAGCCATGCTTCTCCGTCATCTTGGAACACATTACTTTTCCTGATTAAATTAAAAAGCATACGTTATACGAATGTCTTTTTATCTGGTTAAATGAGTATCTTGAAATATTGTAGTTACAAGTTACATTATTACTTAAAATACCAGCCAATTTTCCTCAGAAACACTGACCTCACTCTAATGCTCTTCTTTAGGATAACACGAAAATGACACAGACATTTTTTGAGCATGAGAAAGAAGTTTAGAATAGATTGGGAAAATACACTCGAATGGAGAGACAAAAAGGGTTCTCAAGGCTGACAAACAACCTGTAAAACCTATCTGAAAATTAGTTAATTCTATGGTATATGTTGAAAATCTCAAGAATTCACTAAAAATACATTACTGCTTATCTTCTACGCCCTGCTCCTAGCAATGTTTAAGTAGGCCCTAAGCTTTATACATTTGAGCAAATGCCTCAGCTTCAGTGGAGCTGCTCACACAGGTTAAGACAAAGCGCATGCAGGATTAAAGTCTAAAATTATTTTAACTCCTGTCAAATGCAACAGGTTTACTCTCAGTTGCTTCAAGACCTCTGCAGCCTTGATTCACAGGAGTTAGTTCATACAACTGAGCAAGAAGTTTCAAATACATCAGATAGTATCTCAAAATACTTTTTAAATTATTTTCATTCTTTCTGCACTTTCATTCTGCATGCACACCTGTGTAAACTGTACTTATTAATGCACTTGTAAGCCAACTACATTGCTTCAGTAGGGATCTCCGGCAGCTCTACTGTCCCAGGATGATGTATTCTGGGAAGAGATGACTGGGAAATTATTTTTCCTTACAAAATCATTCAGACAAATTACGACTACATTTAATCTATTTTTATACTACCTGTTGAAATGGGCACTGTCTCATTTTCATTTTAACAAATACAATTTGGAGAGATCAAAAAGTTGATAATGGAAAATTTAAAACTGTGGCAATCATATGATTCCAAAGCATTACTAGAGCTGAATTTTCTTTGCTTTTTGTTCGCCTAAAAAGCGAAACATGTTATTTTTAATTTAGAAAAAAAAATCGTTATTTAAGATTTAATTTTTTTTTAGCAAAAACTTTATTTATCGAAATGTACTTTGTCTCGAAAAATAACATTTTGGTGGAAAATAAACTGGCTTTAATTCTCTGACATCAGGAATGAGGAAGAGTTCTTGAGGCCACATAGAGTTTTACAGTATTTTAAATATTATCTGGACCCTTTCCTTCACTTTTGACTCCTTCTGGACAAAAATGCAAGACTTACCTATACTGCCTAACATTTTGAGAAGTTGTAGTAAGGCATTTTGAAGAATTAAAGCTGTGTTTAAATAATTACGCATTATCATTCTGCAGCAATTCTAACATTTAGAATCAATGGATGTAACATGCATAAAAACACACATTGATACCTCGGAAAGGTTTGAATTTGTTCTCCAGATCAAATTCTTGTCTTCCTAGGCGAGATAAATCAACTCTGAGATCAGGACAAATGGCATATTCCTCCAAGGTTTTGCTGATCTGATAGATTTTATCTGAAACTATATCTGGAGCAGGTCCTGTAAGAAAAACAAATATGGTGGGTCTTATTTTAAACAAAGGTTCCTTCCTTACTTATAGCACTTGAGTGCTATAGAGAACATTTTTCTGACTATATCAGAGTTATTAAGGAATAAACCCTCACAAAGAACAATAGTAAATAAGGCCTTTTCTTTCAGTGTAACGCACACTTAAAACACTTTTTGGAAAAAAAAAGTAATACGGAAATACAGTGCATTACTTGCAACATTTTGATTCACAGAGAGTATTTAAATCAATCAGTATCCAAGGCAGGGGGGATGAGGGAACCAAAAAAACCCCAACCATCCTTCTTTGGTTTTGCTGCTCGAAGACTGCCATTTTTTACTCTGTATGGAATCTCAATGTATACATTAAAGGAAAGCCAGTCCTTCAGCAGCAGTTTCTGTCATTTCAGAGGGCTTTCTGCAAATGTACACCTGTGAAGCTGAGCAGTTTTGTGTTTCACGTTATTTCATTAGACATAATTATCATTTTTTAAGTCTTACTACTTTGACAGTGTTGTTTTCTTGCAGTTTTCCTCCAATGGCTTAATGAAATGTACCTTTGTTAGAATTCAAAATACCTTAATTGCTTAAGAAGCAATTATGACCTGGAACACTGAAGTCATTCAGAAACAAAAATCACATCTTCCTTGTGCATTACTTTTATTACCAAATCCTGCAGATGGGCTCTCTTTTTAAAGATTTACTGTAAATAAAGTAAAAGTCGCAGGCTTGATGCAAAAACTACTAGGTGAGCTATGCCATATGGAGTGCAAGAGCTGAGCCTGAGTTACAACAGAAGTCCTTTCTGGCTTGTCTGACTCTTCATTGTTTATATTAAAGCCACACTTCCACTCTGAAAAATTACTTCCTTTATTCTCTTTTACATGCTCTCTCTTCTAATCCAAAGTCTCTGTCTTTCTAGTACTAACTTTCCACTCCTCTAGCAATGCTGCTATATCCAGTGCAACTCTGTCAAGTAAATTAGTGTGTTTCATTTCAGATGGAGCGTACCGCATGGTCCAAGGCAACACAATAAGTAACAGTCACTTAACTCTTTCATTTTAGAAAATGACTCCTCACTCATCTAATCCAAATCATCCAAGGGGCGAGGACAGGTTTCATTAGCTCCAGATCATCCTTGACAGATGGATGCACTGTCTACTGAAATTTCTAACTAAGGAGATCCCACAGCATCGCTCTGTGTCCTCTCTTACAGCTATAGAAACAAACTGCTTCTGCCTGACCTGGATCTGAAAAACAGACTGAGCGAGAATGCCCAGCAACAGCTTTCCCTTGGAGCTTGCTGTGGCGCCCAACCATTCTCTTAGTTCAAAAGCACTGCCTCATACTTAACCCACATTTTCTCAGCTGCGACTTAAACCAACTACTTTTCATCATGTCCCTGCTCGATTATCATAAATAATAGAACCTTGTGACCTGTGCTTGAGGAGTGTTTCATATTAAAAGCTTAATAACCTGTTTGAATTTCCTTTAAAAAGGCACAGCACATTAAACAGAATGCCCCACCAACTGTTACCCATTTATCAAACAGATTTTAGGTGTTTGTGGTGTTTTAGAGTTTATAGAGTGCTAACGCAGCTAATGGTTTGGCTCTGGTATGTTTGTACCGTGACCCTGGCTTTCTCACCGTCTGACCTCACACAGTCCCTTTAATCTCTCTGCGATTCAAGCATATTCTGTTTATAAAATCACACTGGTTTAACCATGCACATTTTTCAACTAAATAAAGGACAAGGGAGAAGCATCCTTTTCTCAAGTTTTCCCACTTTCAAAATGGGGAAGGAAACATTACTTCAAAAGCACTTTCGGATTTTTCACATGGAAAGCACTCTACATGTGTGAGGTATGCATGGTGTCAGCAATTGCCTCTGTGATATTTTATGGGTGTACACAGATCTAGAACATAAAACATACATAATGTTTAACATGTGTTAGCTTGCTGATTTTGGAAAACAAAACATTGGCTATAAACGCAAATTCCATTATAAAAAGTGGAGTCGCAATAGTTAAAACGGTACAACTCTCTCCCTGGATAAGAGCAGTTATTTCCTGGGTAAACATGAGAAGTGCTTTCTTCCATACAAGACAACGAGTTACACTGCTTACAGCACTTCTGAGATTACACGCTTTAAAGTAAACACCAAGACAAGCAACAGAGAAATATGAGCAAAACAGAGCTCCCTCACAGGCATCTTTATAAAAGGATGAGAACTGTTACAATGATCTGGCAGACTACATAAAATGCTATAAAAATGGGATGGCAAACCTCTTGTTTATAGAAAACTTACAGGAACTGTAAGGATCTCAGTGAACAATTAGCGCTTATTGTACAGACCCACATAAACAAATACACTCCTACTACTGAAAAAAAAAAAGAGATATGCATATGTTCTTCATTGTTTTAACACAATAAATGAAAAACATCTAGTTATAGCGAGCTGGTTATCCATGTCAACATATTTTCACCATATCAAGATGCAACATTGTAATGTGTTACTTAAAAAAAAAACCTACCTCCATTGGCAACCTCAAACTTGACTCCAAACTCTCCTGTCGGTCCCCCAGGACTGTGGCTAGCTGTCAGAATAATTCCACCAGCCGCTTTGATCTTTCGGATGATACATGAAACAGCAGGTGTGGATAAGATACCATTCTGTCCAATAATCAGTCTGCCAATCTAAGTGGAAAAGGAAGTCAAAGTACTCTGAATGGAACTAAACTTTGGAAAATTAATAAATAAGCCCACACACACATAGGCATACATGTACAGGTTAGAAATTTTAAACTCCTAATATGGAACCTATTGTTTTGCAGAGAAATACACGTACATGAGTTGGCTGCACGCTAATCTGGAGTGCTGACAAAAAAATATTGTATCCTGGCACGTTTAACCCCAGTGGTCCGTGTACTAATAGTAAAGCAAGAGCACAGCCATGGTAGTGATTCGCAAAGCTCCCAAGGATAGCACTGGGCTATGATCCTGCTACCAAAGCTTTCCAAGTGTTCCCACAAACCAGCAAATCCCCTCAGATATCAATACAGTTTAGGGCTGACTGTGTGGATGCAGTTTGCAGGGCTCGAGAAAACGGCGAGCAAGTTGCCTTTCATGGAGTGGCTTTTCAGTGCCATCACAAATATCACTACATACTAAGACCTGTCGTCTCTGCAAGTCACACCTCTGTTACCACGACACCCTTGAATGTACCCCTCTAGAGAAAATACTGCTCCTCCTTCAGCCATCAGTGACCCCTTGGCTATTGCAGATGAAGAGGGTGTGTTTCCCAGGGCGCAGCTGAGCAGGGGAAGTTCCCACCATTCTTAAAGTAGAAAAAGCTTTCAGGTGGTGTTATTAAACACTGACTCAATGTGTTTGGTATTATGTGCAGTTCCACTGCAAGGTTCTAATTTCAAAACCTTGCCTTCATCCCCTACACAGATACTAGTTTCAGCTCAACATAAATAATCTAGGAGCCAAGCAGAAATGTATTTACGAAGAAATATGAAAGAGTTCCAGTTCCTGGGAAACAGCAGGAGTATTTGTAAATCTCTCAATTTATCATAATTTACAGACTTTAGGAGCAACAATAAAGGTGTATTTCCTCCATTCCTAGCTCCAAGCTAGTGAAGCAGCTGATTGAACGTTATTTCACAGATCAGTGAACAAAACTGGTGTCTCTCTCATTGATCAGACTTCTTCACTTTTATGTAATGTTCCTCCCATCTTTTAAAACTCTTTTAAATCTCCAAATGCTACCTTCACATTTTATTTATTCAACTGCTTTGAATACTAAACTACTTCAAAATACTTCGTATACAACCTTCCTTGTTATCACAGAAATGCAATTCCTACATTGTGGAACAAGGAAGTCTTTTTTTTTAAAAAAAAAAGGCAGAAGTGTTTCCAGTTGTTGTGGGCTGACAACTGACAAGACACCTCTTTACCTCAGAAAACCCGTAGGGTAAAACTCCATCCATCAGGAAAGTCACTGAAATCACTAGAAGCTCTAGCACATGCCTTGACACACTTTTAGAATCAAGCTCAAGAAAGAAAACTTTCCATTAGCCACATAATTTACTGTTTTATTTAAACCAGTGCCATGTAAATAACCTGAAAGACAAATAGAGATTTTTTTTTTCAAATTGTTCTGAATTTGAGTGTGTCCTTTTATGGCTTCAGTCCACGAAGCAGCTTTTAGACAACATACCATGTCCTGCAAGACTGTTGTATTAATGCTGTCACTTAATCACTATTGCCAATTGCAATAGAAGCACTAGAAAAAACACAGAATATTAGGAAATAGACTTTATCAAACTTCTTTTGATAAAGAAGTCTAAAAGACTCTAAAGAGTCTGCACAAGACTCTACCCATGTACCTTTATTATGGAAAGAAAAGCATGACAAAAATAAATACTGAAAATGTTTGGTTTTAATATTGTCTCTCCCTCTTTTAAACTATGAAGCATGCAGAAACCTAGGGCGATGACTCAATCTTCCAAATACAGCTGTCAGAAATGGGTGCCAGCTCTTAAAACAGTATTGTGTACGGGTAAGCACAAGCAAGATGACAGGAATTACATTTTGCAAAATGCTTGAAAACGACACTGAATATATCTTGATGTACTCAAGTATAAATGCATTTATACTTGCATACAGGCTTCTCATGAGAACATGTTCTGTTTACCTGCCATTGAGGTTTAGATATTTGCCTTTATGCACATTAAAACTGTTTTTTAAAGTTAGTAGAATATTCAAATTCTTTAGAATGCACAAATTACCTGGCACTATCTCTTCACCATATCTTCATTTTTTTCCTGTACAACAGATGTTGCACAAATCAGTTTTCCCATTTTTCTGGATGCCCAATATTAATATGAACAGGAGCAACCTGCTTAGCCTTCAGCATTTGTCACAAGGCTATTATTTCTATACTGCTTAGAAATATTACTTATTCTACTAATTTCTATACTACAGAAATACAGCAATATTTAGTATTCTACATTAAGGATTTTGAAAGTGAATTCACACAAATGACACACACACATATCCTATTTGCAGTGACTAGTGCAACGAGCTTCACCTTATGTGAAGGTCTTCAGTGCTTTTATGAAACTCCCTGAGGACAGTACCAACCTAAGAAGTGTATACATGCTACCTGTCTTCCTCTGCTCTCTTCATTTTAGTGGCAAGAACGCATAACCCCATCTTCTCTAGGCCCAGAAGCTGTTCATTTTGTCTCTGAACCAAATACTAAACTGATATTTAATTAATTTTAAGTAATGAACTTACAGATTTACAGATTTCTTGCAATTTGGGCTAAAACAGTAACCAAATAATGTCTGTGTACTGACTCACAAAAAGTTCCAGTAAAACCCTTCTGAAAACCTAGGACAGTTTCATAGCATGGGAAGATTATCTTTGGAATTCAAAAACTTGCATGGCTCTGAGATCACAGGCATGTAATGTCTCTTCTAATACTGTGCCCCTACGCCACGTTTTGCCACTATGCTTTTAGTAGCAACAGCAAAAACAAAGACCGTGATCCTCAGCAAACTGTTACAGCTGAAAGAATAGTCAGCCCACAAGTACTTTACAAGAACATTTTTATGCAATATTACCACTTGCAGCTGTGCATTTTCAGATGATTCAGTTGATTATCACGGAGCCACTTAATGCTTTTTTTAATTATTTTTCCCAGCAATCTCTCACATGCCTCAGTCAATTAAACTTGAAAGAACATGAAGCAAGCAGATTATATCCTGGACAGCATGTGGCTGTGCCCCCTTATCTTTTGCTATAGCATCCTAAAGATAACCAAGCGCCATGCTCAACATAGAAGCAAATGTATCAATAATACAGGTCCAGGGAGGGAGGGCAAGATTTACGTGGAAGACCGTGGAAAATAAAACCAACATGGTATTACAAAGAAGGTAATCAGAAAATTCTCTGCCATCTCAAACTTCTGCAGGATTACTAGCAATACTCCATAATCTCTCCAGAACATTGCTATGACTTCCCATATTCAGAGTATGATTATCAGCTTCTGAGACCCATACATAGCAGCTTCTCATTTAAACCTATCCTAAACTTTGCATCAAATTGACACACCACATTCAGCTGATGCATCTACTGGAATGCTTGTATTTAATTTGTAGTGGAACTGTATTACAAACAACGGAGCCTTTCACTGTTCTTTCAGTTTATTAAGGTGCAAGGACACTACCACCAACAGGAGACAGGTGAAAAGAGAAATAGAGCCTCAGATACTCTTCTCCCACCCCACTTTGAAAAAATGCTTGTTGCAACACGGAACGGTACAGGACCTCTGTCTGGCTTTCCTCACACTCCCCCATCCTCCCATGACATGCAGTCCGTTACCCAAAGGTGTTTGCTACAGCCTCAGCTGCGTGCCCAATCGAAGGGTGCCCCTGGTTAGCCACCTCCCACTCTGCACAGAAAGATTTGGTGGCGCATGTACTGATTACAGTTGCATAGCGTGGACCAGCCTGTAGCTGCGGCCACCAGTGGAAGCCTACGCAGGCTATAGCTGTGGAGTGTGTACCTGCAACCCCAAGCTGGAGGGCATGAGCCAGAGGGACTGAAGATGAGAAGGCAGCAGAGCAAGCCCTGGCACCTGACCGGACAGGGGGCCTCATCTCATTCCTTGTACTAGGGCCTATGCCAACCGTGCTAGGCTGTTAATGGAGGGGGAATGCAGGGTGAGTCACCAAGTTAGAACAAGGGGAACCTAGCGACTCTAAAGGGCAATACATTTACAGTTGATCATAGAAAATCCCTTTTATTTTTGTAGTCAGCAGGCACAATTAACCATAAGACGTGGTATGAGTCTTCCAAGAAGGAGATTCAAGTTCAGTGCATCAGCGCCAGGTGACTATCCCCCTCCTGGCACTCTAGGGCGGCTAAAGGTTTTGAATGCAACTTCAAGGCTTCTACACGTTTCATCCGATCCTCCCTGTACCAGCTCACTTCTTTCCTTGTGATACTGGCTACATGCCTTCTAATGACATTAACCTCATCCAAAGGGAAAGCTCTTTGCCCTCAGGAGTATTCCCTTCCTCTCCCCCTACTTACATAGCGCAGCACTAAACGATGCCTTCAGGAAGGTTTAGGCATTTTCCCAGCAGATATATTTTAACAGTCAAAGAATAAAACATACAAACAGTATTCACTAAGTAAATATGAGGCTTACGCATTCATAGTGTGCTTGAGAGAAACAGGGGTGAGGGTGAGGAAGGTGAGGATGGCAGAGAAGGCATGGAGCATTAGCACATGGAAAGCGGAAGCCTTTTCAGTATCAGTAGCACCCCACCAGCTGACCTGCTGAATTTGTGAGGATTGTGTCATGAGTAAGAGTATCATGCTTGAATTCAGGTATTTGTGGGAACTGTGAGCAGAAAAGTTTGGGGTTTGGCTTCAGAAAACGCTAAGGAGAAACTGCGTTTCCAACAAACTTGCAATAACTTAAGAAAGGGGAAGCACTACTACAGCAAGGTACCAGAAACAGTTCAAACTGGATGTTCCTGAGGTCAAAAAGATCTGATCTTCAGGGGAAACAGAGCAAAATGGAGAACGTGACAGAGGCAGCATGAAGAAGACAAGCTGACAGGAAAAATCAGTCAGGAAGGAGTCCTGAATAACCTGACAAGCCCCCGGTCTTCTAAACCCTAAACTTCTTGTCTTCCTCAGCACCTCAGTCTTTGTGGTCACCTTGTGGCTGTAACCCACTCTGCAGCTCCTACCAGTGTCCAAGAGCAGGCAAGGATGCCAGCCTCGGCAGGGCAGCTCTTGCTTTAGCTGTTATTGTGCTTTATCCCGCCTGGTCAACAGGTACAATTCCAGTAGTGAGGCTTCCTCCACCGAGCTACACGGGGGAATGGGCTAGCGACCAGCACTCCTCCGGGTCCCATCCTACCTCCCTCACAATGCCCCAACACACCAGCCTGCTCCCGCTGCTCTGCACTCGCTCTCCTCACGCTCGCTCCCCGCCACTGCAGATGAAACATCACCGCGCTACCCCCACTAATGTCCCTGCCCTCGCCAGTGTCCCCTCCAACAGCCCTCCTCACACCCTGGGCCACAGAAGCCCTGGCTTCCCCCGAGTCCCTGCATGAACAGCAAGTTTGCAAAAGCTCGCCGTGCATAACACTGCCAGTCCCTCTAAAATCCCAGGTATCACACAGCGTCAGCTTGATAGTATCAGCGTGATGGGAACATGCTTTAGAAATAAATTTTAAAAACCCATTATTTATACCAGTCATGGTAATTCATATAGCTTGTATGTGACAACAAATCAGCAGGGAAATTTCAGACAAATATGGAGATATGTTTCAAAGTCAAAACATCTCCTGGTTATAAAACAGGACTGCATTTAAAGAATGGAGCTTTTGAAAAAACTAAGAAAAAGTAAATTCACTAAAAAATAATTAAAAAAAAATTATACCACTTTTTTTGCCAGATCTGGCGAATCAATTTAGCCATCATAACAAGAGACAGCAGCTTTGACTCTGAAGTAAAAACTTCAAGCCTACATTAACTGGTATTTCCAGCTTTCTATATATACATCGCGACACACGAATGTGCACGTATCTATCAGAAGACATCAGTTTTCTTCTCCAGTTCTCTTCTCATTTTCAAAGGGGCATAAAACAAAAAACTGTGAATCGTCTGATCACAGAAGCATTTGCCACTGTTGCCTTCTTGCATTTCATAATTTCTTCCCAAGCGAACAATAAAAAAGAACAATTAAGATGCAGTCAAACTGCTGAATTCCTCTTGCTTCAGGAATACCATTTCCCTTGAATATTTTTAAAAGATTCTGAGCAGTAGATACACATCTGATACCTTCACTTCCCACACACTTACTTCTAATTCTGCTATATTTTCTCCTGCACAATCAACCGTGTTTTCCAGCTCCCGTTCCTGCCTCAGTCTGAAATAAGGTGGGAAGCAGGGGGGCACGGCCGGCAGTCTCCTGAGGTTATCGCGATCACCTCCGGCATACACGGATACCGGCATACACGGACAG